CATGGAAGTCCAGCGACATAGCCATTATGCCACCTGCTGGTCCCTCTAGTGCTTTCTCACTGTCAGCTAGCAATTTCCTCTTAGTATCTCCAGAATTGGTTGGAACGAGGACCATCCACTACATGCTTTTACCTGGTCTCTTCCTTGCTTTCATCATGTCATAGTGAGGTACACGTTCGTGAGGGAGCTCAGGTTTTGTTCGGTTTTCTTTATTCTTTTTTAAACTTTTGGCCATAGGCGTCTGTGCTCGCTGGAGAAAGAGAGAGGAAAGTGAGAAATCACCCCGAGGGGAAATGGTCATGTGACAGTCCTTTCGCCTCCAGTCTCCTCTTGGGATTTTGGGCATGCGGGCACATGCACACAGCATGATTTTCAAGCTGCTGGGTCCAGGACTCGAACTGTGGTCGTCCATGTGGGAATTGATGCCATCTGCTGGCCCCTTGTTTCAGTTTTCAGTGTCTCATGAAACCCATTCCAATGTCGATCATCTCTTCACAGCCACAGAGCAGCCTGGTTCACTGCACAGCTCCCAGGGACTCCAGATGGGTCCTGTGGAGGAGTCCTGGTTTGGCCCTTCTCTGGAGTACCAGCAGGGGGAGAGCGTGCCCAGCCTGCAGAGCAAGCTCCAGGCAGAAGCCAACTACCACCTTCACGGCAGCCGCATGGACAGACAGACAATACCGCAGTCCAAGAAGAGCGTGGTATACAGCAGAGAGGAGGAAAGGAGACGCAGGGTCTCCCATGATCCTTTCGCACAGCAGAAACCCGAGAGTGTCCAGACTGCAGGACCCAAAGTCCTGGCCAGTCATGGAAATGGACTATACCAAGCAACAGGGCCCACCAGCCAACACCACCTACCGTACTGGAACAATGGGCACTATAGTCAACCCAACTTTGGAACGAGATCACTGGATCCAGGAACAGCAAGTCCCGGAGTTTGGTATACAGCAAACCCAAGCCATCCGCCTAGTCTGCATAAAGGTGCAATGCCTGAGGCCACCCTGCAGGGAAACACTCCCACCATACCATTCAGCTCCTTTCCATCAGCAGGTATGCAGTTCTTTAATAGCCACCGTCTTATCTTTATGTAAGCATTTGTCTGAAAATAAAACGGCCATTGTCTTTGTTATAGATCCTAAACTATTGGGTTAAAGGGCAGGTCGTTTGCAGTCTTCAGCTGCCAGGTGTGACTTGCTACCAGGCCTGGTCTCTATGAGACCACGGGTCTAGGAGCCATCACAGCAGGGCAGAGTGTTGGGTTACAGGTCCTCGTAAAGGGTAGGCATCTTCCACCCTGATCCGAATTACACAGTGGTTCCGTTACACCCCGTGTCTGATATGTGGAAAGACAGCTGCTTATATTCTTGTTTCTTTTCTTTTCTTTTCTTTTTTTTTGAGAGGTTTTTGCCATAGGGCGCCTGCACTCGCCAGAAAGACAGAGACAGAGAGACAGAAAGCGAGAAGTCATCCCCCAGGGAGGATGGCCACGCTGCAATCCTTTCTCCTCCATTCTCTTCTCAGGATCTTGGGCACGCATGCACACGCGCCTGGCGTGAGTTTAAGCCACTGGGTCTATGACTTGAACCACGGGCAACTACATGGGAGTCCAGCGACATAGCCATTACTCCAACTGCTGATCCCAAATATATTCTTTTTTAAAGAGGAGCCCGGCCACATAGCCCTTACCCCAACGGCTGATCCTGGCAGCCACATTTTTAACACTGTAGTAAAATACATGTATATCAAATTTACCATTTTAACCCTTTTTTTAGAATTATTTTATTTATTCATTTATTTTAATTCGACTCAAGAGACAGAGCGAGAGAGAGAGGAAGCGAGAAAGCAAGCCACCAGGTCCAGGACTTGAACCATGTCGGCCATGTGGGAATGTCCAGCACCTTAACCACCACGCCACCTACGGGTCCCCATTTTAACCCTTTTTAAGTGTACATTTCATTCATACATTGTGCACCCATCACCACCACCCATCTCCAGGACTCTACTTTCCCAAACTGAAACTCGATCCCTATTAAACACTCCTTTCCATCCCACTTTCCCCAACCCCGACAACCACTGCTCTGCTTTTTGCCTCTATGAATTTGTGTTTTTTGTGTGTTTTTTTTTCTTTTTTTATATGTTGTCATGCCATATACAGAAATATATACAGCAATGACAACTTTTTTTCTTTCTTTTTTTTTTTTAGAGAGGTTTTCGCTATAGGGTGCGTGTACTCGCCAGCAAGACAGACAGAGACAGAGAGACAGAAAGTGAGAAATCATCCCCCCAGGGGGGATGGCCACACCGCAATCCCTTCTCCTCCATTCTCCTCTCGGGATCTTGGGCACGCACATGCGCCCAGCGTGAGTTTAAGCCACCGGGTCCAGGACTCGAACCGCAGTTGACTACATGGGAGTCCAGCGACATAGCCATTACACCAACTGCTGGTCCCCGTCTCTATGAATTTGACTACTCTTAGAATCAGATACTATTTATCTTTTTCATGACCGACTGACTTCTCTTCACAGATACCCTCAAGGTTCATGCGTGTTATGAAACGTCTATGTCAGAATTTCCTTCTGTTTGAAGCTGAATAATACTCCATTGTATAACCGTTCCAGTTTGGCAGTCCATTCATCTGTTGATGGATACTTGGGTTGCTTCCATGTCTTTGCTATCATGCATAGTGTTGCTATCGAATGTACAAATATTTCTTCGAGACTCTGCTTTCAGTTCTTTTTGGGTATATTTCCAGAAATAGGATTGTCGCGTCACACAGGAATTCTGTCTTCGATTTTCTGAAGACCACCACACTGTTCACCTCAGTGGTGGCGCCATTTCACATTAGCAGTGCACCAGGGTTTCATTTCTCCACATCTTCACCAGTCCCTGTTATCTTCTAATTTTTATGTTTTTTTTTTTCCCCTTTATTCTGTAGTAGCCATCCTTGTGGATTAGCCATAGTTTAAAAAAAAAAAAAATTGAGGGAACCAGCAGTTAGGTTAATGGCTATGTCGCTGGACTCCCACGTAGTCGACCGCGGTTCGTGTCCCGGACCCGGTGGCTTAAAACTCAGCCGGGCGCGTGTGCTTGCGTGCCCAAGATCCCGAGAGGAGAATGGAGGAGAAGGGATTGCGGCGTGGCCATCCCCCCTGGGGGGTGATTTCTTGCTTTCTGTCTCTATGGCTCTCTCTGTCTGCCTGGCGAGCACATGTGCCCTATAGTGAAAACCTCTCAAAAAAAAAAAAAAAAATTGAAAGGATGGTGCAATATAATTAACGTATCTTAAAATCTTGGGGGTAGAGCCAGCAGGTGGCGTGGTAGTTTAAGGCGCTGGACACTCCTACATGGCCGACCACGGTTCGAGTCCCGGAGCTGGTGGCTTGCTTTCTCGCTTTCCTTCTCTCTGTGTGTCTGTCTTTCTCTAGTCAAATTAAAATAATTGAATGAATAAATAAAATTAAATAATTCTTTTAAAAAAAAACTTGGGAGGTAAATAAAGCCCTGCTTCTTTACTGTGCTGTATTTTTTTTTCTTTTGCTCTATGTACTTATGTGTGTGTTTCTCTCTATTCAGATGAGTCTATAAAGTGTGCCATATACAACAGTACTGGCATTCAGATTGGAGCCTACAATTATATGGAGATTGGTGGAACGAATTCCTCACTCACAGACAACATGTACACCTACGTGAAAGAAGAGCCAGCTTCTAAGTACCAAGATATCTTTGGTAAGAGGTTCTTTTGAAGACCTCGTGTCTAGCAACTGTGAACGTTCGTTCTTACTTGTTGAGAAGGCTATAGTGGAATCATAAAATTCTCCCTGAAAGTTGTTCCATGTTTTCTCTGTAACTTTCATATAATTCTTTTATACCTTAACTTATTTTCGATATGGGATAATCACATGGCCTTGTGAAAATTAAATGGGGGATATGTGTAAAGAGCCTAGAACACATGGGACCAGTAGTTAGCGTAATGGCTATGTTGCTGGACTCCCATGTAGTCAACCATGGTTCAAGTCCTGGACCCGGTGGCTTAAACTCATGCTGGGCGCATGTGCATGCATGCCTAAGATCCCGAGAGGAGAATGGAGGAGAAGGGATTGCGGTGTGGCCATCCCCCCTGGGGGGCTGATTTCTCGCTTTCTATCTCTCTGTCTCTGTCTGTCTTTCTGGCGAGCACATGCGCTCTATAGCAAAAACCTCTCGAAAAAAAAAAAGCCTAGAACACATAAGGTCTTACACAGTAAGATCTATGAAAGTGTTAAACCTTGGGAACCAGCAGTTAGCGTAAATGGCTATGTCGCTGGACTCCCACGTAGTCGACCGCGGTTCGTGTCCCGGACCCGGTGGCTTAAAACTCACACCGGGCGCGTGTGCGTGCGTGCCCAAGATCCCGAGAGGAGAATGGAGGAGAAGGGATTGCGGTGTGGCCATCCCCCCTGGGGGGCTGATTTCTCGCTTTCTATCTCTCTGTCTCTGTCTGTCTTTCTGGCGAGCACATGCGCTCTATAGCAAAAACCTCTCCAAAAAAAAAAAGCCTAGAACACATAAGGTCTTACACAGTAAGATCGATGAAAGTGTTAAACCTTCATCATCATCAGTGTTCTTACGCAGACCTGGGAGAACTAGATCCTTTAGGTCCTAATCAAAGGGGCTTTTGTAAGAGAGAGATCATGCCCTCATAGCACTTCTGTAACAGAAGGAAGTCTGTATCTGATAGTGTTCCACGTGCAATCCCACAACTTTAATCCTGAAGCACAGTCGAGAGGCAAAAACAATGGGATTAAGAGCCTAGCTTTCTGAATGATGAACTGTGGGACCAGCCAATTTTTATTTTTAAAAAGGGCCAGATAGTAAATATGTTGGCTTTTGCCGGTCTTGAGTTCTCAGCATGTCACTGTAGTGAAAAATCACCTAGACAGTATACCCATGAATGAGCATGGCCATGTTCCAATAAAACTTTATATATAAAAATAGGCAGTGGGACCACATTTGGCCCATAGGGCATGGTTTGTCGTTTCTGGCCCACCCCATTTAAAGGAGATCCTTTAAAATACTTAGAACAGGCGTTCTTCACTTTTTTTAAAAAAAAGAGGTATTTGTTTATTTAATTCCATTTATTATCATTATTATTATTATTATTTGCCCATACAAAATCAGAGAGAGAAAGGGAAAGCAAGAGAGCAAGCCACCAGGTCCGGGACTTGAACTGTGCTTGGCCATGTGGGAATCCAATGCCTTTAACCACTGCACCACCTGCCGGCTCCCAGGCAGTCCTTAACTTTTGAGGAACCAAAGATATCTTTGAGAATCTGATGAAATCCAGAGTCTCTCTGCTAAAGAATTAGTAAGAAAATCTGGCAGATAGCTCGGGCTTGGTAACACCCAGTGGTGACAACAGAGGCGGCATGATGGTTGGCTGAGGAAAGAATAGGAATTGAGGGGGAATAAGTGAGATGTCTTTTTCCTTCTCTTCAACTTAACTAAGGTAGGATAAGGATCAAGGAATATAGTTTATTTGTGCTGGTTGTGATGTGTGTGTTTTAAAAGTTTTATTTATCCCATTAGAGAGAAAGAGAAAGAAAGGGAATGGGGAGACTGGTGGTCTCACAGGGTCTTTATGCTGTGATCCACCACCAGCCTCACCAGGTGGTCTCACAGGGTCTTTGTGCTGTGATCCACCACCAGCCTCACCCCGCCCAGATCTTAGGCACCCGTGTCTGCTGTGCACAGTGAGGCCTCAGGATATGAACCTGGGACCCTTCCAGTTGGTCCATCATTACAGAGTGTTGCATTCCCACCACACCACTTCCTGGCCCATTGTTTTGTATTTTTATTTGTCTCCTTTTCTATTATTTTTATGAAGAGCTAAGAGGAAGGATCCAACAGAAAGAGGAAAGGTACAGGAGAAGAAGACACATCAGTTGGGGAGGTGAGCATAAGGGTAAGCATAGGTCTAAAATTAGACCTTGAAGAATACAGATACCCATCCCCTGAAAGACAAAAGGCATTGTAATCGAGTTTATACTCGATGATCTCCATTCCTTTGATTAAGTAACAGGAGAGTGAACTATCAGGTGAAGCAGGTCAGGAGATGAGTGGCTGTGATTCTGGCTAGATGTAAATGGAAAACTGTCCAAAAGGAACTACAATGGTGCGTTTTGTTTGTTTTTCACCTTTACGTTTAGGGAGAATGTGTAATGGAAACAGAGTCCCTGGATAGGATTATAGAGAACAGTGGCTAAGTAGGGATCTTGTTCATAAAGCCATCACTTGGACTCAGGGATACATATGCTAGGAGGAAGGGGTGCCATATTCTAATTCATACAGTGAGTCCACATGGGCCAGCAGGCACATATGAGTCAACAGCTGTATCATTCAGAAGCCATCTTTGGGCCTGCTCGTGGCGTGGCTCCCACGTGGCCAATTGCATGGTTTGAGTCCCAGACTTAGCAACGTGAAGAACACACCAGGCATGTGTGCCTACATGCCCAACATCCCAACAGGAAGGAGAAATGGAGAAGACGGGAATGGAAATGATCACCCATTCCCCATCAGGGGTGCTTTCTCATTTTTCTCTGTCTTGCTTTCTTCTCTCTCCAGCAAGTGCATGCACCTTCTAGCAAATTAAAAAAAAAACAAAAAAAGACTCTTTTTTTCCATTGATTCTCAGTTTTTCAGCAATTCAGGAAGGTAGACTGGTGGATTATTTATAGCTTGATGCCTTCTCTTTTCCATTCGGCAGATAATACCACCAGTCTGACTGATAAACACCTGGACCCAGTCAGAGACAATTTAGGAAGGCATTGGAAAATCTGTGCTCGAAAACTGGGCTTCACCGAGTCTCAGATCGATGAAATCGACCACGACTACGAGCGAGACGGACTCAAGGAAAAGGTTTACCAGATGCTCCAAAAATGGCTGATGAGGGCAGGCAATAAGGGCGCCACTGTAGGGAAGCTGGCCCACGCTCTCTACCAGTGCTCCAGGATAGACCTGCTACAGTGCTCCAGGACAGACTTGCGGAACCGTTTGATACGCATCAGCCAGAACTAACTCTGCAGGATTGTCGACAGCAGGAAACAAACTCCTCGCTCAGCAAAGAACCCCCCGGATGTGTGCAGCCCTGGAGCATTCATGGTATTGGCCTCCCACACGCGGGCTCTGTGTCTGCGTCAATACCATTTCCTGCATTTCAGAGCTGGAACATGAGAAGAGAAATCTGCACTTTCAGGACCAGTGAGAGGAAGGTCTCTTGCTGGGGGAGAACCAACCAAGGGAAAAAGAAACGTAACGGGCTTTGGCAAGGGTGAGACTACAGACTTCAGGAAGATGATTTTTTTTTCAGCTCATGCTATCATCTTCAATTCTCCTATGCATTCAGCTTCCTGGCATTTTGTTTGAGCAAGGAAAAAAAAAAAATTCAGAGGCATAAAATCAATCAGCTTTCTTATTTTGTGTTATCTTGGCCACATAGGCTCCTGTTGTAACCAAGTTACAGTAAAACGCTAGGTTCTGGGTTCGGTTTGAATAAATTTTCTTGTCATAACTATAATTCATCTCAAAATTATAGCACTTGTTAACTTTAGTATCAAATGCTGTATCACTACAGGGTTGTGGTTTTTTTTTGGAGAGGTTTTTGCTATAGGGCGCGTGCACTCACCAGAAAGACAGAGAGAGACAGAGAGACAGAAAGTGAGAAATCACCCACCCAGGGGGGATGGCCACGCCACAGTCCCTTCCCCTCCATTCCCCTCGTGGGAACTTGGGCATGCACACACATGCACCCACTGTGAGTTTAAGCCACCAGGTCCGGGACTCGAACCACAGTTGACTACATCGAAATTCTGGAACATAGCCATTATGCCAACTGCTGGTCCCCACTTTTGGCTTTAAGAATTACATGCAGGGCTGGCCCTGTGGCTGGTGTTTAAGAGAGCCAGATTCTGCATGGCCAACCATGCAGTTCGAGTCCTGGACCCAGTGGCTTGGGAAACGCAGCAGGCACATGTATGTGCATGCCCCAAATCCCAATGGGATGGAGAATTGGAGAAGAAATATGGTGTGACCACACCTCCCTCCTCTCTCTCTGACTCTGGTGAGCACATATGCCACTGACAAATTAAAAAAAAAAAAAAAGAAAGAAAAAACTAAATGAGAACTATACTCCCTCTCCACCACATTATATTAAATTATAAAGTGAATCCAGAAATTAGTTGAATTTATATTTAGTTCATTTAGAAATTAACTGAAAGATTTTTTAAAGTCCAAAGGAGGGAGAGAAGTAGGGGGAAACAACCAGAATTCCCTAGGCCATCCTCACAAGAATTGCTACTAATTTTGACTCCTACAAAAATCCCCGATTAAGTTTTCATTTTTCTAGTGTTCTGATACTTTCACGGAGCCTAGGTTCCCTTCACCCTGGGTATGACTGTGACTGGGGCCTCAGGGCCAATCAGTGTTAAGCTGCCTCTGTCCTGCAGAAATATTTTCATTTTTTTATGCATGCCACGAAGGATCAAGGACGGTTTTAGAGTCTGGGAATCATACTTCTAGCACTTAACCCTGGAAATCATGCCTCTAACGCTCACCTGGAACCTAGGAGCGAGTGAAGAAACTACAGGTCAAGCTGCCTGGCCATCGGGCCTCTCTGCTGGCGTTTTGCTCAATGGTGAGGATCTGCAATGTGTTGAGCCCCCCAGGAGGGGGTTACAAGGGCATGGTGCTGGTCAGTCCACCTGTCAGAAGGGATCCTCATGTCTGGCGGGTTGCTGATGGTCTTGTCGGACCTGATTCTCAATCTCCTGTCGAGCCAGCAGATACATACCCTCCATTCTCAGCATCTTGGGTGGTTGGTTGGTTCTTTGTTGTGTGGTTGGTTGCTTCTTTGTTGTGGGGCCCTCCCTGTGCCTTTAAGGGTGACGGAAAACATCCCTCGCCTCTACCCAGTAGATGCCAAGAGTATTATTCCCACCTCCTTCAGTCCCTAGTTATGACAAAAATGCCTTTAGACATTGCCAGCTGTTCCTGGGAAGGGAGGATGGCCCCGGGAGAGAGGGGCACTGCTGTAATGAGCCTTCGTCTCCTATTCCACGTGTCCGGGTGTGCCGCGTGGTCCCCACACGCGTGAGATCACAGACCGAGAGGAAAACTGGAGCGGGGAGGGCCCAGGCTTTGCTACAGAGGTGCTGCGGTTTGTGTCCCATTGAAACTCATGTGTCGACAATTGGTTGTGAAGGTATGAAAATATCAGAAGGTACCTAATACCTTCAAGGTACCAGAGATGGGGCCTCGAGAGCGATGAAGTGGCAGGACCCGCTGATAGACTCCTGGTGGGTTTCCAAAGAGAGGGAAGGAGACAAGATGCATGGGCAGATGGTCCACTCTGCTGTTGCCCTCACGATGTGCTCAGGGCCCTTCAAACACCCCACCAGGTCCCTGAACCCGGGACCCCTGGACCATGGGCTGAGTAAGCCTTATTTTTAATCTATCACCAAGTCTCAGGTATTTGTTATCACGAACTTAATAGCAGAGGAAGGCAAGGGGCCTGTGTGATTTCTTTTCTAAATGTACTCCTTAGATCACCAGCCTAATGGTGTTCTAAATTCTCTTACATTCCACAGAGGTTGCGTGATCAATGTTTTGAACTAAAAATGGAAGGTATTTTTAATGGATTTTTAAAAAAATTATTTATTTACATTCATTCACTGTACGTTACAGCATACAAAAGGAAATTTTCCATCCAGAGTACACTGTATATTATCTCAATCAAGCCCATCAACATACATGCTATTGTCAACAAATAATTTTCCATTTCTTGTTTCCTGTATGTTTTGCTTTCCTCCCCCCCCATCCTTGATTCCCTATCTCTTACCCTCTGCCATCTCACACTCTCCTCCCACCACTGTCTCTGGTATCTATGTTTACTTTCTATACTGTTTTCCCCCCACATTTTATTGAATTACTAAAGATCTTAATTAATCTAAATATTTTCATAGCAAACACAACTGATATATACATTTCCATGAACACAAGTCTAACTTTAGGCATCCTATAAAGTAGCACCTAGCTGGGGCTACATATCTTACTGCAGTCATTGAATAGATATTTTTTTTTCTGAAACTTTTTTTTGTAACCTAATTTACATTCTTTTCCTAAGCATCATCACAGCATACAAAATGTGATTTCCCATCCAG